ACAACACAATAGACACAGCTCTAACGGAATCGAAATTTAGGTTTAGATCCGGAGTGCTCAACATGCAGTCGCATTATAGGTCAATTCAGATCCATCCGATAGGCGAACAGTTGCAGGTAGCTGTTGAAGCCGCCACTCATGCGGCGCATCAGGGACGCGACTCGCTTCCGAATAATCGCGCATCCGCAAACATCCCAAATCCGATACAGTAGCGTGGCAGCTTCATCAGTGCCCTGAAGCCGTATAGAATGCGTAGGGCGTCGTAAGATTTTTTGTGTACTTGACCCATAGGCTACATGTAGAATGATTGGCAGAATGCTCTGAACAATGTAGCCTTTACTTCTGCAGTACAGCGCACGAACCTACGTGCCAACATATTGGCCTGAACAGACAACGCCCTACGCTCCCTATCCATATCAATATCGTCTGAAAGCGTCTCATTGACCCAGTTGGCCCAGATATTTGAACTGCGAGACTTTTTTAAGCTCACTGCCATTTAGCGTGACTGGTTGGATAATGTAAGTTTTTGATCCCGTCTATTGCACCTTGAGCTTGCTTTGGATGACGTTGTATCTGAGTCCACGGGACCCCGCATAATGCTCGCAGATTAAAAAGAGTCTTCGAAGGGTACTGATCGATGGATACAGCAGCACCATGTCGTTTGCATAACTGATGTTGTTGACAAGATCGCTATCAATCGAACACCCAACACCAGCGCTGCTAAGCTCACGGATCAGTCGGTCAATGTACAGGTTGAAGAGACTTACACCACACTCCAAACTGTACTCGTCCGATAGTGATCCCGACCACTGCACTAAAATTGCTCTGATTGCCATACCAGTACTTCAGGAGGCTTATATACTCATAGGGAAGGTCCGTATCACTCAACAACCTTTGGCACATCCTCTCACAGGCAACTAAGTCAACTGCTTTAGACAGATCTAAAAAGCAGGCATATAGAGGTGTGCTTCTCAGTATAGTACTGGACGGTATGCTTGAGATTCAATCTAGCTATTTCGGTTGATAAACAGGGGTGAAATCCAAACTGCGCGTCATGCAACTGACTATGTTGTCTTAATATCAAAGAGACCGTCTAGAACCTTAGCAACGACTGTTGCGAGTGAAATAGGCCTGTAATTACTTAATTTGGACGCGTCTCCCGTCTTGTTCTTTATTATGGGAACAACTATCGTTTTCGTCATAGCTTGAGGCTAGGCAGTTAAGAATGGCTCATGCTAAATGACTTACGGGATTTAAAGAGGACAGGGTGACTGAAGATAAAAGCGAAGGCAGGTTGGCCATGAACCTTGATCAATCATGAAAATATTCTAGAATTCAGAAATCGAAAAACTTATTCGCACGTGGTACACCTGATGGTAAGTAGCTACTGTCGCTCATGAACAACTGCAACACCAGGAAAATCGCAGGTACGTTGCCGGCAGTTTAAAATTGAGTAAGTAGCCTTTTTCTTGTCTTGAAGGTATTTAATTCATATTGGTCCGAAATTGCTGATGGTGGTCGATTCTACGAAGAAGTCGTGCGAGGAAAACAACTCTTAGTAAATCACACAGTGTTTCCAAATGGTGTGGATGCTATCGTGAATTTAGTCGCGATTTGCGATAGTGAAATTTGGCGGCTGGAATTAATCCGAACAATTCCTTCGAGTACCCCCATTGGTAAATGCGATAAATAATGGTAAATGCGATAAAATGCAAAGTGATACTTCTCATCGCAGCGCCACCAGTTTAACGAGACAATTAGAAAGAACGAAGCATACACTGGGGTACCCAGCCTGAAATTGAGAACAAGATAATTGCAAGCGGTGTATTGGCTTGAATTACTATCCCGCTCTATTGAGCAAGCCAATTTTTTTAGAGATTTATTTAGCCTTCCCTTGCAAGTGATCACGGAACGCGTAATGGAATCAACGGAACGTTACTCGATATGTCGAAGCCGAGGTTTTCGATGCTGTCTTAGGCAGCAAGAGGAGTAACTTGAAATGGAAGAGACACGACAAAGGGGTTCTTTTTTGCGGTAAACATGCAAGCGCGGCTGTGTCTTCTGAGGGTTAATTAAACTAGACTAGAGTTAGTCGTCCCAATCAGTATATTAGTTTGATGTGACAAGCGACCAAACCCAGGAATCCGGCATCTTCTCTGGCACCACAAACGCAGCGCTGATCACGTCTGCCAGAATTCACTTAACAGGCTTTTTCAATTCAAAAATATGAAATCCTACCTTACGCGCTATATTCCCCCTAAGGAAGTACCCTGTATTTTTATTTGTTTAAAACATTAAAGAAAAAGTAAAAAGTAAGAGGTTTAAAACAAAGAGGTTTTAAAAAAGCTTATTCTAATTTCTAGGTTTCTGGGGTGTATAAAGAGTGTCAAAAATATAGTTAAGGTGTTCTCGACTAAAAAAAGAAACATTGTAATTAGGTAACTATCTAGTTTCCTTTGGCATGACCTTCATAACAAGTCATATTATTTCTTCATGCATTATAGGGATCAAATAATCACCTTTATAAATGAAAAATAATTAGTAAAAAACCAATTGCAATTGTTTGATATATGTATTATCTAAGTAAATCACCGCAAATGATTTGATATATTATGTACGTATCGTATCCGTTGATATGAATCACGGGTGTCGAACTTGCCCGGGCATGAGATTCACTTAAAATTTATTCAAACTCAACCTTTAGGGATTGACTCAACCGAATGGTTTGGTTAGGATAAATAAAACACTAAACAAACAATTATTATTTCAACCTCCCTGTCCGCGAAAAAGACACAATAGTTAAACAATCGAAATGTTGATATATGACTCACGGGATAGTGAAAGGGTTGAACTATCTGATTTTAATAATTTATCACTCAAAATAAGTTTATAGGAAATGCGTGCCTTCACTTCTTCCATACAAAATGTAAAAGTTATTTATATATTAGAGTCACAAGCCTTATAGTCTTCGGTATGTTATTTTATAATTTTTTTAAATGGCAAAACAGTACGAGTATTTAGCACAGTAAAAGACTAAAACGACTGATTTTGTAATGTGTCCGTGTTGTACTTAAGAGTAATAACATACATATATATTATGTGTGGTACATAGAAGTATGACATGTGACAATAATTTCATTAGTTGTTTCCGTGTTGTTTGCACGCACGCGTCGGAAGTTGGTCCTAGGAAATTCCCGTCCACTGCTACAGAAAAGTGGGGGAAACACTAACACATCAGTTGTTATTTTTTTGACATATCTTTATGGGATAATAGTCTTTTTTAATAAAAAAAAAACAAAAAGTAATTTGATGTAATTTTTTTCTATAATCGAAAATTCCATTGACAGTAACGAACGGCAAAGTTAATAAATCTAAAGTGACGTTTATAATCATTGTTTTTTCGATTCTGCGTGGCAATGCGACCAGACCAGAGAGAATAATTATAAAAAATAATATAAAAAAAAACTGAACGAACGAAAATGTCAAGAATATTTAAAGACACGATTATAATCACGAGAAAAAAGAAAAGACAGAAATGTTGACTACTATTGTATTTTTATTATTTGTTATATGATATTACGTTGAGGACTGAAGTCCATACGAATAAAGAATGGGATTAGAAATGGCGGCTCATTGAGCCCGTTCCTACAGCGATACTACTACCAATAGCGATAATCCGCCAATAACGGTATTATAATTACTAATATTATTCGGTTAATTGGAAAAAAATAGTATACGCATACGTATAATATATAATATTTTCTAAAGTTGTAGCACGAATGGGTCGTCTCGGCCGGGGAAGGACCACGCTCTCACAGAATACCAGCGTCAAATATCAGCTCAACACTGCTGTGTTTCGTATGGTGAGTGTAGAGAACCGGAGACCCTTTTTACTTGAAACGAGGCATTCCATCTTAGTCCTCACGGGTGGCAACACATCTGCATTTTGATTCGCAAACGAGGATAAATGTAGATGTCTATGGGCCACAGCAACCACTTACCATCAGGTGGACTGTGTGCTCGTTTGTCACCCTATAGTATAAAAATAAATAAAAAATACGCACATACATATACATTAATTTTAAAATAACATTTATAACTAGCGACCCGCTCTGGCTTCGCCGGATTAGGATCTATTAATGTTGGTTTATTTAGACTTAAGATAATCATTAAATACCATTTATTTCATGTGTCAATATTTCAATTTTAATAAAATCTGTAAATTTTTTGTTAAGAATTAAGTCGAGATCACTCCCGGTATTCTCTATTTGTTCGTGAAGTTTTATTGAGAGACAGACAAACGAAAATTTTAAAAATAGTTACTTATGTCATACTCGTGTATCAATGGCATGTACATAATATTTAGCTTTACTTTTATTTTATATTCAGAAATTAGCGAAACCAGACTGATTTTTTTTTATAGTTTATGGCTTTTTGTTATCATTGATCTCAATAACAAGTTGGACTGAAGATAGAGGACGTTCGAAAAAGTCATATCGCAATATTTTTTTTGTTTTTACCGACGGGTGTGAGTATAGATAGCGACAGTGTGTGAGCGAGAGGTGAATAGAGGTGACGCCATTTTCAATCCCATTCTTTAACCGCACGGGTAGTAATTGAGATGAATAAAGATAAAGAATCAAAATTACATAATGGGATTTCTGTCTTAATTGAATACTTATTATTGGTTATTCATGTTAATTAGTAATTACCTTTCTTGGTGTTTACCCGGGTTTTATGACAATGTTCTGTAATAGATGGTTAAACTTGCTTATGATGCAATAAAAGATATTTTATGTCACAATCCCCTGGTGCTTAACACGAAGCTTACCCTACTATCCTCTACTTATGATTACTGTTTCGCTGTCTACTGTAGATGCTGTTAAATACGAAAATTTATTTACTTTCCCCCTATCTCCAGCGATCGACTTGTTGGGCACCCTGATATGTATCCTCGAATCCTGTATATTAAAGAACATAACATCTGCTGATATTTACAGGATGGCAGAGCATTTATTACACCGACTGAAAGTCCTATCCTTGGTCGAGCTTTATGCCTTACACCACGTGGAAGTCCACTTCCAGGACATGTGTCTCACCTAAATGAAAAGTTCCAGGACTCTCTTAATATTAATTCAGATACTGATGCATTAGTTGCCAAAATTAGTGCCATGTTTCCTACTGTTAGTGAAACTCACATTAAAATATTATTAAAAAAGTAAGTACCATTGTGTTGACATGTTGGTAACATTCGTAGAAATATTGCTTGAGTTATATTCACTTAGTATAGAAAATGAATACAAGCGTTTGGCACATGCTGTTGTAAAATATTCAAGTGGTGAATTAGCAATCTACACCCCGTCGAACGCTCGCCACTCAGGCCTCAGGGTCTTATGTCACAGATTGTTTGAGATAAGCAATGCGTATATTAAATTGATGTTAATATTATATTTTAAAATATTTTTTGCCATATTTACGTAGGTCACTTGGTCGTCATCAACATAACGATTAATTTTATGGGAGCAGATCCTAAATCTGCTATTCTAGTTCAGCTTAGATTCAAGCGACAATTTCTGGTCACAATCCAATTCACAAAATCGGATTTGTAATACAACCTCAAAAGCGCAAAAACGCTTCGACTCTGTCGTGGGCTTTAACGTATGAAATATAAGTAATATTTAAAGTGCTGAAATGGAGAACGGTTTCAAAGAAATATATGCACTTACTAATTTTGATCTAATTTGGTCAAAAACGTTAAGATGCTGTGACACCCCTAGGATTAACAGACTGAACAAAGGAAGGGTTCCTTGCGTGACAACGGAAGCCTAAAAAATCAATGATTATTATTATCCCAACAGATACTATAATCGTGAAGCTGTAGTTATAAGCGCATTGCAAGTAGAGAAGCATCCAATAACCACGCCAGGGCCCTTCAGCATGTCACCATCAATGTCACGCCTTCAAAAAAGCGCTGTCGGTGTTTATTCTGCCATGCAGTTTGCTAAAGGGGGATCATCTATACAAGGATCGAGTCATTTAACCCCACTCACTGGAACACCTCAAGGTAATGATATTGCTAAAACGTTTTTTTTCCAGCATTTTACATTGAAACAACAGTGCTGCTACTAAAAACTAGTACTGTTATAAGACACGCAGAAGTTAATGGATGCAGGTGGCTCATGACTGATTTTTGGCATTCCTTGGGGAAGGTTCAGCAGTGGACTTGTGAAGGATTATAATGATAACGATGAAGATTATAAAATATGTTGAAGATATTTTTGGTCAATTTTTTGTTGAAAAATAACCCTGTATAATACACTGCTATAGACGAAATAGTTATACATCCTTCTATTAATATAAATGTGAAAGTTTGTTTGGATGTTTGCCATATGCCATAAACATAGGCTTAGTCACGCAAACACTACTACACTTTTTCTTGTTCCCGATCATTTCAGTGTGTGACTTTGTCCTATAAAATCCTTAAATTACCGATAAAAAATATTAAGGGTCACTTAACGGGATAAGAACTACCCTATCTCTCAAGTTGGATCAAACTGCACACAGTGTGCAAATTTCATTGAAATCAGTTCAGTAGTTTAGGAGTTCATCGCGGACAAACAATGTGACACGTAATTTTTATATATAAAGATTAAATATATTGCATTGGGTCAGCGCGGCGGACACTGCCTTGAGCTAAAACCCTCTTAGAAATGAGAGGAGGCCTGTGCCGAGCAGTGGGACGTATATAGGCTGTAACTTTAACTTTTTTAACTTAAATATATTGCTGGGACGCTAGAGATTAAAAATAATAGCTAGATGAGGTGCACAACCGCACCTAATGTAGCTATTATTTTTAATACTCTATCTACTATAGGCGCAATAACTTGAACGGAAATCCCCCACAGATCTGCGGTTTTCTTAATACCGATAATTTTAAAATATTTTACAGTGTCTTTTGATGATACTTTATGAAATGTAAGATTCTTTGTACAAAACGTTACATAGAATACATAGCTAGCTAAATCGTCTTTAAATTTCCAAATAATTTATATCCTACACTAAACAATTCCTCGAACTAGATTTTACTCACATCGAAATAAGTAAAACGGAGTAAGAGGTCTTAATAAGATCTTTGGTGTTGGTACCCAGTAACAGTGCCTTTTCATATTTATATCGTGTACCAAACTTTGTTTGAGTTCTATTTTTGCCACTCTCACACTCTTCTTCATCATGAATATGATTATCTTGCAATATAAATAGAAAACAAACGTGGCCGCTTTTGCAGTCACACCGGTTACCGACGGCTCTTTCACCGTGGGCCCCGATTTCATTTAAGGACAACTAACAAATTCCAAGGAAGCCCAACCTTGAAAGTAGCGGGAAAGCTTGGTCACGTGTTTCTAGGTCCCGAAATCGTTCCCGAGCTCGGTTACTCTGAGCGAGATTATTTATAAATCTAATTATTTAATTTAGTCTATAGAAGTGTATTTCAGTAGAGCGTTATGCAACTTTTAATAAATAAAATCAATTATAATTAAACGCGAAAGGAGCCGCGAGTAAAAGCTAGTTATTATATAAATCTGTTTTTATACGAGGTTTATGCAGCTATCTGTTGGAAGTCATCGAAATCATTCCTTTTGATATATTTTTTGTTTTACGACGCTTGTTGGTCGAGATGTGATGATGGATTCTTTTACTCAAACCTTTAGTATATTTAACATAACATCTACTTTTCCAGTAAACAAAGATTAAAATGGTCTTTTCTTTAAGGGTCTCCTCTTTTCTTACGACCGGCGTCAGGTGCCTCAAGCTATATGGGTATGGCCAAGGCTGTCGACGGCCAAACAAAACACCAATCTCCAAAGATGAAATTGAAGTAAGTATACGGTTTTTTTCCTTGCTTATTAAAACAAATATCATTATTCCTTTTTTTCCCTTACAGTATTAGCTTACAGGATATTAACTTATTAGTAAATTTTTATTTTTAATCGTGTACAGGTACATTAAAAGTATATTCCCGAAAGCAGAAGAGACATTGATTTTAGACGTACTAGCAAATAAAGATAACAATGTACAAAAAGCTAGCGAAGAACTGATTGGCATGGGGTTTGCTAAGAAAGAAACTATAATGAACCAACAGAAAAAGAAAGAGAAAGAAACGCCACAACCAGCAAAAAAAGTAACGATATTGAAAACGCTAGAAGAAAAAAATGAGTGTAAGTAACAGATACATTTTAAAGCACTATTAGACGAGTCGCCTGTCGCATTTTGCGTGTATTCGTCGTTACGAGACTGATGGGATCCCAATTAATTTTGCTTTAATATTTAACCCAGTTCAAAAAAAACAAGAAGATCAAGGTTATAACGCGAACGAGAGTGTTTTATGTGGTAGAACTACACCGCAGTTATAGTAGTTGTAGCACGAATGGGTCGGTTCGACCGGGGAGGACCACGCTCTCACAGAATACCAGCGTAAAATATCAGCTTAATGCTGATGTGTTTCGTATGGTGAGTGTAGAGAACCGGATATCCTTTTTACTGTAAACGAGGCATTCCATCTTAGTCCTCAAGGGTGATATCGCATTCTGCATTTTGATTCCTAATCGAGGATAGATGTCTGTCTATAAGCCACAGCTACCAATTACCATTAGGTGGACTGTGTTCTCATTTCTAACCCTTATACTATAAAAAAAAGAACGTATACTTACAGAATATTCAACGCGAACTTTTTTAAAGTATGTTCTTCTCGGAAACGGCTGAACAGATTTAAATTATTCTTTTTTGAATAAATAGAGTTTTTAATGGGACTCCAATATAAATTTTAAGACAAATTTCCATCTGTAATCGAGGAAAAATAAGGTATGAAGATTTTATTTTACCAATCATTTTAGTTCTTATCTAAGCTTCTGATTTTCCTTAGACCACTCACCGCTAAAAGGGGGAAAAATAAATTAATAAAATTATATTAATAAAAAAAGTGAAATCTACTTTAAAAACTACAAAAAATAATTTTGTAATTGCTTTTGAAGTCTGGGCCTCATTCGTAATTCTTCGATACACTATGTGTTAGCACCGCAATTAGTTTTTATTTTAGTTTAAGTTTTTGAAGTTACTTTTACATTTTATTAAAACTTTAATTAATAAGTACATTAAATACGTACATAATTATCAATAACTAGCTTTTATCCACGACTTCGTTCGCGTAGATATTATACTTTATACTATAGGTGATCCATCAATAATCGCACTTTCATAGTAAATTCTATCACCTTGTTTAGGGATGAATTCCATGATCAAATCTATTCTATTTCCGTCCCCGAGACTTAAACTATCGTGATACCAAATTTCATCTAAATCGGTTCAGCGGTTTAAGCGTGAACAGGTACATTTCAGTGGCGTGCAACATATTATTAGTAGGATTAAAAAGTACATTTGCTTTTGAGTTTTCTTTTTTTTTTATAGGAGAGGGGGCAAACGAACATGCGGCACACCTGATGGTAAGTGACTACCGCTGCCCACGAACAACTGATTCCACAAGGAAGTTGTACGAGAACGAAAAGGTCTTTTAAATCGCACAGTGGTGGACCGCCGATCATCCAGATGGTATGGATGGTATCGCGAGTTTTGTCACGATGTGAGATGGTGAAATTGAGCGTCTGAAATTAGTCCGAACAATTCTTCAGAGCCTTCTTCTTGATAGGTGCGATAAAATACGCAAAGAGATGCAACATCTCTACGCAGTGCCAGTGAGTCAAGCCTATCGGAAAGTACTCGATCGTCGACGATTCGAACTGCTCTGTGCTGGATGCGGTCAAGTGGAAGGAGCTGGCACTCGGAAGCTCCTGCCCAGAGATGGGGACAGTAGTCCATGTGAGGCTGAACCTGCGCCTTGTAAAGTTGCAAGCGGTGTGCCGACATGAAATACTGTCCCGTTCTGCTGAGCACGCCAAGCTTTTTAGAGGCCAATTTGGCCTTCTCTTCCAAGTGACCACGAAACTGCACGTCACTCGATATCTCGACACCGAGGATTCTGATACTGACTGATGCAACAAGGGGAGTGCCTTGATACTGAGGAGATACGAGAAAGGGTTTCTTTTTAGCGGTAAACGCGCAAACTTGTGTCTTCTGAGGATTAAACTGCACTAGATTTAGTCGCCCCCAATCCGAGACTTTGTCCAGCAAAGACTCGACTTCAGACACAAGTTTGCTCCGGTACTCGGCAACGTTTTCCCGAGAAATATTGGCACGGCCGGTGTATAAAGCATCCCGAGTGCTGTCGTCAGTATAACAATGAAGGTTTTTTCTTCGCCATCTTCGAAAGGTGTGGTGGCTAGTCATCACAGCAAACTTGCCATTCTGTATTCACTTTTATGAAACAACGAAAAATAGCAATACATTCATGATTTGGAATGATGGTGTTGATAAGTTTCAAAACAAATGTCGGAAACGGAGCAACACGAGCCACCAGCGGACAGGAGGGGACTACCATAGCGCTTTTTAAGCGCACACATAAGTTGGCATCCATTGATTACGTGAGGCGACTTTGGCGATTTTCCTACCCTGCCCCACCCCTTGATGAGATGAAATATGGCTTGACCCCTTCCACCCCCCTCCTCCCGCCCCGAAATATCATGTGAGACTTTTAAAAATGCGCATTTTTAGAGTAGATACGTGTATCTCTGCTTGATCGCGTTGGGTTTATTTAAAAAAAAAACCAAAAACAACATTTGCTTAGTTATTTTTATATAATTTGTGGAGTTCGCATAACTGGACAAATATTATTGTCTAAGATTTAGCCATATTTTACTTAATTTAACCCAATTTACTCAAAATTTTGCACTGTTTCCTGCGGAAAATATACGTGATATTTGCTGAGACCCTTTCTCTCCACTTGAGATTGGGTGAGATTCGGCTCGACCCCTGTCATTAAGAAATCGACGTCTGTCATTAAGAAACTCACATGTGACAATTCAAAGACTTATATAATAACCTACACTTGACATGTATATAATCATAGTACCGAGAGTAAGTGAGATATACGAGTATTTACACTCGAAATCCTAAGTGTGAGCGTCACAGTTAATATTTGTGTTCGTGCACAACATTCGTGACGTTTCTCGGTTTTTGTAAAAAAAATGTCATTAGGTCATTAAAACTGAAACTATTAATTGTGTTTACGTGTAGTTACGTGTGATAAACATGATTTATTGCAGTGTTATTGGCTACAAAGCCTTAATGAGCGGGAAAAAAGGAAACATAACCAACCTTTCATACGTAAGTGCTATTTTTACGTCATTATTTAATTACATATATTCTAAGAAGGACATGAAAAATACTAATAAAGAATATTAAATAAGGACCATGAATGCCGTCTGTTGGAGTCAAATTGTAAAATTTTAAATGTAGTCTTCGTACATTATCCACCCAAATTTAGAAGCCCTAATAGGATTGATGCGTCCATATTATGTATGCATTTTGGATTTAGAAGGATAATACATCTTTTAGAAACACAAATTTTTGCATAATAATGTTAATACTTACCACGGGAAAATATTGCTAAAACTTTATTTGTAACTAGCTGTTCCCCGCGACTTCGCCCGCGTGGAGTTATTATTCCCGGAACCCTAACATAAAGCAGCCCAAGTTACTCTTTATAAATCAGCTATCTGCCAGTGTGTATAAATATTGACAAATATTGGCATTAATATTTATACGATACTAACGTCACGCAATTGTTTTGCCTCCCCGGAACCTCTCCACTAGCACTTAAACTTTATGTTATGGTATTAAAGTTCAAATTGACTTTTAAGTATTATTAAGAATATTTTGTATGGGAATATAGAAAAGTGTTGTTTTTAGACGTTTTCAGGCAATTTTTTAAAATTTTCTCTCTGTAGGAACCATCTTCGTACTTCAAGGAATATTATAAAAAAAGAATTAGGTAGTGAAATCGGTTCAGCTGATCTCGAGATTTGCGCTTAGCAACACATTCAGCGATTCATTTTTATATTATAGATTAAAAATTTCTTGCCGTTCTTGGTTAATATAGTCATAACAGATTTTATTATTTCTATTCCTGAATACTGATCATGTCTCAAATATGTAAATATGATGTGTGAATATTATTGTAGTTTATTTTTTTATTCTAATTTTCCAAACGATCCAGATGTGTACATCGTACAGCCTATATTATACGTCCCACTGCTGGGCCTCCTCTCATTTCTGAGACGGTTTTAGGTAAAGGCAGTGTCTGCCGATGCGTGTTGACGACCTGTCTTGGTAAACAAATCCGAAACAAGACGACCGTTATTATCGTAATTTTTAATTTTAAAAAGAAATAAATTACAATAATGCGATTAAAAATTACTTATACATATATATGTATAAGTAATTTTTCATAATCGTAAATCGAATTAATATAAGAAAGGTAGCGCAATTTTTCGTAAATTATACTAGGCAGATCTCTTTATGAAGCAAAAAAAAAACTGAAAAATTCGGAATTTTTGTAGTTTTATTATACGCATAGGACCGCGTGAACTTATGCTTTGACAGAGGGGAACGCCTACGTATGGCTACTCTAATCCGCTGGTGGTCCGTGTTACTCTATGGTTGGTAACAGATTGTTTTGGAATTTGTAATTTGGTAAGGTAAACAGAGAGTAACTTATAGATTTTTTTTTAAACTGAAGTGTCAAACGAAACCACTGTTGACCAGATAGTAAGTGACTTTTGCTGTTCATGGACACCTGCTGCATACTTCAAACAAATAATATTATCTAAATAAATAATATATCTGGGCTGGGGCTCCCCAGCGCCAGCTTCTTCCACTTGACCGCATCCAGCGCAGAGCGGCTCAAATTGTCGACGACCGAGTCCTTTCCGATCGGCTCGATTCATTGGCGCTGTGAAGAGAGGTTGCATCTCTTTGCATTTTCTTTCGCATTTACCACGGGGAGTGCTCTGAGGAATTGTTCGGATTAATCCCAGCCACCAAATTTCACGAACGCACATCGCGACAAATCACACACCATCTGGATGATTGGCGGTCCACCACTGTGCGATTTAGAAGATGTTTTCTTCCTTGCACAACTTCCTTGTGGAATAGTTTACCACCAGCGATTTTTCCGGACCAATACGACTTACGAACCTTCAAGAAAAGAGCCTACTCCTTTTTAAAAGTCCGGCAACGCATCTGCAATTCCCCTGGTTCCCCTGGTGTGGCGGTTGTTCATGGGCGGCGGTAGTCACTTAACATCAGGTGAGCCGCATGCTCGTTTGCCACCTCTCCTATAAAAAACAAAAAAAAAGATGCGCTGTCTTCCTGTGGACTCGATAAAGCATTCAGACCTGAACACAAAAATGCAAGTATTGCTATTTGGCAGTACAAATAGAAATAGATAAGAGCGTAGGACTCCTATAATCCTCCAATCTCCAATTTCCACAAAAATCTCCTTTATTCTTTTTTCTTTACTTTGCTGTCTTCGGATTTTTATAGTATAAGGTTGACAAAGGAGCACATAGTCCACTTGACGGTGTTTTAATAAACGAAAGCTACGTCTACATCTGTCCTAGACTTCGAATAAAAAAGGATCCCCGAATTTACCTAGCCGAATTTACCTAGTAATGGTTGTCAAATTGATCTTCGTCTTATAACTAAAGTATTTTTTTTGCATCCAAAAGCAATTGAAAAGGGCTACCCCGATACGCGAGGAAGTGGAGAATACTTTATGCATATCACGACAGCCGGTCTGTCGTAGTTATGTGGGACTCACTGTGACTAACTAACATAACCATCCTAAGTGATACCCGCTAAACTCCACTTTGAGGGATGGGCAGTGACCTTTGAGGCCTCTCTGCCGAATCGGAAGCGACCCTCTTTTGGGAAAAGAGAACGCAGGCGGCTAGAAGCAGCTGGGGGAGAGCCTACTAAGGCAAATTTAAGAAGAATCGGCCTGAGCCGCCAGGAGGCAGTTCAGGTCGATTGAAATTTTATTTGGCGGGTCCGAGAGAGAGCTTCTCAGCCTGCGGACTCGATAGCGAGAGGGGGGGTGGAGCTGCATAAGTAGCTGCCTCACGAATAAAATCATTGGAATGAAAAAGTTTTGAAGAAGTTAAACGGCTTTGAAGAAGTTCTCAGAGAGTGTTTTTAGAAATTGTTGGATCGTAGGGAGCTCTAAGTCCCGATAGAGGTCGGCGTTACGGACGTACCAAGGTGTGTTCGTAGCTCGACGACAGAAGAGGTTTTGAACTACTTGGAGTTCATTTATAATTTTAGGGTCAGCGTGAGCAAAAATAGGGTCCGCGTAAGACATATTTAACTAAAGTACAAAATGTTGTCAATTATATACATTTACAGCTAGCGAATATTTCATACCTGTATCTGTTCTATATACAGTGATCGATTTATGACGTGTGTAGTGCATAGTGTAGGTAAAAACAGAGCACATATTATTTATCATATTCTCTTCTATAAATATTAAAACGTATTCACATTATCACCTAGAATATAATTTTGATATTATAACACATGATTTGCAAGATCTTGCTAAGTCGTTAATTAATACGTTCGGTTACTTCCTCGTTAAGAATTCTAACGTCTGTTGCATTAGATTTTCTAATGAGTATTAGTGTTCTTAGAACCGCGGTCGTATAAACTTGAATATAACTGTTGTTGATAAGTTCTATTTAAATTATCGCATATCTCATTTTACTTTAATTTTGTATACATACGTTGGGTTCAGGAACAACGAGCTGGACGTCTGTTACCCGTCAGATAAACTAGTTTTTAAGCGCGTCGCCAACAGATATCGATAAGTTTATGTGGATTACCTACATTCAAAAGTAAAGAAAACTACAATGCTCACCACAGTTGAATTTTTAATGAAATTAAAAGGTGAGGAAAATAGAAATTTAAAATATTTGTTTAATGATAATCTCATTTTGTTGACCTGTATACCTAACATGTGTACCTACTTCAGGACTTACTTTATCTTGTTTTGTTTTGATACTGAGAATTTGTTTGAGGTTTAAACCCGAAATTAAGTAGGACAAAGACAGTGATAATAAAAGTTACATTAAATTTTTATTTGTTAGAGGTATAATTAAAATCGATTACAAGCGACAAATTTAACATTTATCACTGGAAATAGTAATAAGCAAATTAAGTACAATTAACAGCCTAGTATAAGAGCTTGTGGAAATAACACTACGTACACATTTGGAGTTATTAAATATTCACTTATAATTGACTATTCATTATCATGCATACTTTACTTGTAGCAATATTTTTTTTAAATCAGGGCAATGACAACATTGTGACTTTGAAATTATTTCCAGTAATTGACTTATTACGTGTAATACATAGTATATGTATTTGTATGTACATATTTTTCTTTTTAAGGAGTAATTGACTTATTACGTATAACATATGAGTTCGCATCCAGTATACAGTATATACCGTATACTACAGTAAACTACGAGTATAATGAAATAAACCTACCAAGCTAACAGCATAGCAAAGTGGCGAAGCAATCAGCTTTGTAGCGGTTTCTAACGGTTGCCATTGAGCAATCAGTTTCAAAATAGGAGGTTCAGATGCCTGGGTGATCAGTAATCGATTGCTGAAAACATAATTTGAAAATTCAAAACCGTTCTGGAGATAATCGTGGGACAGACGGACAGACATCGTGAAATCAATAAGTAACTTCACAAGTTTCGCCACTTAATAATTTCTTTTACATTTTTAACAACGTCAACGTAAATGTGATAACAAGTATCTAAACGAGAACACAAATTATGTTATTTAAAGTTTGGTTAAGAATATTTAAACTACGGCAAGTAGCGATTTATTCATTACTATTTCTAACATAATTTTAATTAATACGTACGAGTAACCGATTACATTGCAGATAGTGCACATTGAGTAGTCCCTGAGATATTATAATAGTTGACGCGGCTGCACCTGACCCTTACGTAATAAGAATGTTAATGTATGTTGCGACAACTAACAAATATTTTAACGATATAAATATAATATGTGAGGCCGAAACTTTAAATTGTTTTTATAATAACAAAAACATAGGTATCAGTAATTGTTGGTTTCCTAAAAAACGTAGCTGTGCCCCGCGACTTCGCTCGCGTGGAATTTACTACGTGGATATCAATTTTTTTGCGCGGTACCCTAATTTTGATTTTGTGTAATGTTACTATCGTATAATTATTGACATTAATATTTATACGATACTAACGTCACTCAGTTGTTTTGCCTTCCCAGAACCCCTCCACTAACACTTAAACTTTATTGTATGGTATTAAAGTTCAAATTAACTTTTAATTATTATTACGAATCTTTTGTACGGGATTATAGAAAAGTGTTGTTTTTAGACTTTTTCAGCCAATTTTTTAAATTTTTCTCTCCGTAAGAACCATCTTCGTACTTCAAGGAATATTATAAAAAAAGAATTTGCGAAATCGGTTCAGCTGCTCTCGAGATTTGCACTTAGCAACACATTCAGCGATTCATTTTTATATTATAGATTAAACGTAGGTAGTACAAAATTGATCTCCTCAGTTTCGAGGGACTCTCGTTGTTGCCTCAGCCAATATCGAAATTATAACTACGATACGCCCCGGCTTCGCACGGGTGATTTCTGGATCTCGAGCAATGAGTTGTTGTGCTGGGGATCGCGGATTCGAATCCCGCACGGAACAAATATTTGTATGGCCTACAAATAATTGTTCCGGGTCTGGATGTTTGTTCTCGTGCAATATATGTTTGTAAACTGCCTCCACGATACAGGAGAAAATCCTAGTGTGGGGGTAACGTTTTATAAAACAAAGAAAGAAAATAAAAAAAAATCCTCGGCGTGGACATATCGAGTGACGTGCAGTTTCGTGGTCACTTGAAAGAGAAGGTTGGCGTGCTCAGCAGAGCGGGACAGTATTTGATGCCGGCACACGCCTGCAACTTTACAAGGCGCAGGTTCGGCCTCACATGGAATACATTTCCTATCTCTGGGCTGGGGCTCCTCAGTGCCAGCTCCTTCCACTTGACTGTATCTGGATACTGAGCTGGCGCAGAGCAGTTCGAATCTTCGACGACCGAGTCCTTCCCGATCGGCTCGATTCACTGGCGCTGCGAAGAGATGTTGCATCTCTTTACGTATTTTATCGCATCTACCTCGGGGAGTGCTCTGAGGAATTGTTCGGACTAATTCCAGCCGCTCATTACACCATCGCTCATCGCGACATAACTCGCGATACCATCCATACCATCTGGTTGAACGGCGGTCCACCACTGTTCGATTTAGAAGAAGTTTTCTCCCTCGCACAACTTCCTTGTGGAATCGATTACCACCGGCGATTTTTACCGACCGATACGACTTAGGGACCTTTAAGAAAAGAGCCTACTCCTTTTTAAAAGGCTGGCAACGCATCTGCAATTCCACTGGTATTGCAGTTGTTCATGGGCGGCGGTAGTCACTTAGCCGCATGCTCGTTGGCCTCCTCTCCTTTAAAAAAATATTTTTAATACTTCGCGCCTCGTTGCTCCAGTCGAAATATTCTTATTCCTCACATGCAGGTTCCCCTCAGGATGTTTTTCTTCACTGCCGATGTTACTCGTTACAGTTTCATTGGTCCCGATGAGATTCGAAGCCGGATTGTTCGCGTATTATGAAACTACTATACTTACTTTAACCATTTAGTTGTAGTAAAAACTATTTTAATTTTTTTATCAATTTCACACTTGTAGCGTAAACACAGGACAAGATTATACGTATCTGCCGCGAGGGTGACAGATAAGTTATACCGAACCGGACTCCTTTCGTCTTAAATCACACGGTATTCGTTTCTTCGCACTCGCACTTAACTCCGTCTACGGGAACGCTTTCGCGCAGCATCGCAGCTCCTAGGTTCTTTCTCGTTAAGAGAGCGGAGCTGGAGTTCTTCACTCTTTCTTCCTTTTTGGCACACGCATGGACACTGCACGCGCTACCCCAAGGTTTTTATCTATAGCGCAACAAACCACCCGTGTCCATCATCTTCTTCTAGCTTAACCGCAGCAACAAAAACAACTTATGATAACTTTTATTTATAAAGACTAATTAAATGGTGGACAGGAAAAATCATACTATGTAATATTTTAAGTTTTTCATTTTCTCTTTTTAAACAGTAAAACAAAAACTGCAGAAGAAATATAACACGGTTGCAGAACGTGTAATATCAATTGCTTTAGAGAGCGTAGACTTCAATGAGGAAAGAGCTGAGCAAATTCTTAGTGCCGTTGTTCAAGAGGAGGAAGCACCGAAAGTTACAAAAACCATGGAAGTTAAAGAAACACGGCGGCCACAAGCGGTAGAAATTTCAAAAGGGTAGGTATTTTATTAGCATAATAGCTTTGTTGAAAGATAAATGAACTCAATTATCATAATTTAAAAATTGACCAAAAAAAAATATAAAAATTATTTTGGTGACCTCTCATTATGTGATTTTTTTACCCGTCTATTCCATCGTATGGGGTCTTATTGTATGGAGCAATATTCTTTCCGTTTCAGGGGTCCTATTGCAAAATATTTAATTTAAAAGTGGTATTTTTTATTAGAGACACGTGTTCCCCGCCTCTACCAACTAAACCGCTGGTTTTGGAATTGTGAAAAGTACGCACGATAGTAGTGTGTATATAATAAAGTTAAAAGCCATATCATAGATAAGTAGCTTTAACAAGTTGACGAATAATAGCCGACCAATTTATAAAATGCACTTGGATTAGTAAACGTTTCGTTACAATTCCATTTTCTATGGAATTGTAACGATCACAATTTAAAACTAGCTGCATTATAACTTTATAGGGGTAACGTTATTGTAAACTAAAAAATTTTTTTTGAAGAAAGCAAATAATATATTACTACTATTTTTCGTTTCCTTAGCGGGGTAGCAGAGGATCGATCGCCAAGAAAACGATCCTGACATACCACTTTCTCTTATTTTTTCCGCTACAGTTTCACTTCTGGTAATCTTGGTTTACGCGGGCGCTCCTCAGGATAGTTTAGGGCAGTGATTGTTTACGGGAAGGTTTGCACTGCCGGGGACTAATAGAGGGATAGAGAACTGTGACCATTTTTGTACGGACTTGGCATGTGAATGATTTGATGCAGATAGTATTATTTTTCAAATCGAATCAAAATCTTTTTGAATATACCAGTCCCGATAAGTCTGCTTCGAAAATAAGTCTTTCAGCTACCATTGTCGTCTTTGGGTTTCTTTTTAGTCGTTATAGCGATCAAAGCGCGGACGCACTTAAATACACTCAAAGAAACAAATTAAGAAGGCCTTTTCTAAGTTCATGTATTGTGACGGGCAAATACAGAACCCTTCCTCTACACCGTACGTAGCCCGACACATGCTTAGCCGGTTTTTATTTCTATTTATTATATTCTGACTAGTTGTATTTCAAAACTCACCTTGTTTGAACAATTACATAAGACTTGATACTAACAAAGTACAAAGTAATATTTTACCCGCATGATTTGTCACTGCTAATAATAATCCAGTAATATAAATTGGTTCATTTTTTAAATATATTTTTTTTCCTTTTCTGAGAGACGAAGGAAACTTCGTAACTTTCCTTCGTCTTTCAAAATAATTTAATATAACATTTAGTATTTATTTTATTTTATATATACAACTTAAAACGTAGTGTATTTTAAAAATCAAATCTTAACAAATTTTTTCTTACATCCAATATCAGAGTCTAATGTCGTACAAAAAAATATTATACATATTATATATAATAAAAATAATTATTTTGTACGTACATTCATTAAAATCACTGTTCTTTAAAATAGCAGAAATTGTATGTAAGAAAGAAGTAAGTAAATGGTATGGTGATAACCATTTTATAGATACTTTCCAGTGTTAATCTATCGTCCAATTGCTTCTTAGCTTCTCACAATTTAACCTCACATAAATATTGATGGTACTTAACGATTAAAAAAGGAAAACTATGACCATCAATAAGTATGTGACCATCATTTCACAAGGAGTAACTATAACGATAGGGCGGTATTGATGATCTTAAGAAGGGAATATTAAAATCTAAATTTATATGAAAATCTTAGTAACAACCCAGCTTCGCACGGATGATTTCTGAATCTCGACTACAACGCCACCTACAGGATTGAATTGTGAATCTAAATCGTACAAGGACCCATTCAAACATAAAATTTTCATCAAAATCTTACGTGCCGTTTTTGAGTTTTAACAAGACGAACGGACTACAATTGATTTTTATATATAGATATTACATGCACGTTAATAGAGAATTCTGGGTGCGTCCTATATACAGCGACAGATTATTCTTCCTCCAGCTTTTTCTTTAAATTTATATCAGAGAACTCTTTTAGCCGTTTCTAATAAAGTGCAGGTCGTTTTTAAATGAAGAAATCGTGTAAACCTTCAAACTGATTTATCGATCGATAACTAATCGTTATAATATGCGCAATTACATACATTTTAATACTGATTAAGAAACCGACTAAACTCTCGCCCGATAGAAAGTCTGCAGTGTGAGGTGTCTCTTAATTTTATTACAAAAACATGAAATTATTTTTTCAAAATTATTCATTTGTTTATTGATTAGCGTTATATAGCGATGAAAATCGCATATGAATCTTTTTCGTCATCATGGATACGTTAAAAATTCGAGTAATTATGGAATATGAGTGAGTACCGTCGTGGCAGCAACGCGGCACAAGCGGCACGCAACATCAACGACGTTTACGAAGCAAATAAATAAAATAATGACTTTCAATAAGTATTATGTAATAATCGATATTGAATAAAAATCATTCTATTCTATTCTATTCTATTCAAATACTACGAACGAACGCACCACCTGCTGTTGGCTTGGCCGCTGCCGTTCTGGAAATTTCAACCTGAATAATTTAAAATTAAAAATGTTGTATAGCCGACTTCAATATAAGTTATTAAGAATAACTCAAAAACTATTGGTCTGATCTTGATCAAATTCATATGAGACCACACGAGAAGTACCAGCTTTCCAATAAAAAAGTATCATCGAAATCGGTTCACCCAGTAAAAAGTTATGAGGTAACACACATAAAAAATATACAGTCGAATTGAGTACCGTCTCCTTTTTGGAAGTCGGCAGAAAATAATCGCCGTGGTCGTCCGAAAACTTTGGTTGACAATGACTAATTAAAGGCAATTGTGGAAGAGCCGATACTCAATCTACGGCAACAGCTACTCTATTAGCCGCATCAGACTATTAGCAGCAGCTTTCGACGTTAGCATCAAAACAATATTGGCCCATTTGCTTCAAATTGGCAAAGTAAAAAAGCTTGACAAATGGGTGCCTCAACTAACTAAATGATCGCCAGCGCGAAGTACGCATCGAGACTAACCTTGCACTGCTCAACAGGCACACAAAGGAAGGAATTTTGAACCGCAACCGCAGACCTGCGACGAAACCATTTTCGTCCAGGTATGCGGCTGTGGCTGTGTTCTATTTGGTTCAGCACCTAAACAATGCCCTAAACGAAAGCTTACCCCTAGATAAGACGTGATGGTCACTGTTTGGTGATCTAGCGTCGATGTGATTCATCACAGGTTTTTATCAAACGGGATGATCATTACCGCAGATGTGTACTGTGAAGAACTTAACACTGATGGAGAAGCTCCCACGTCTCCAACTAACTTTGGTCGATCGCTCGTCCCTACTGCTCCTGCACGACCTCATACTGCAAAACAGACGGTCTCCCAGTTACGAGTGCTGGTGTTGGAAGCTCTCCTTCATCCGTAATCACCAGACCTTGCGCCTACAGACTTCTACTTTTTTCAAAATTTGAATAAATTTTTGGCGGGAAAATATTCAATACTCGAGAGGCAGTACACAATGCCTTTGAAGAATTTGTTGCCTCCCGTCTAGCTGATTTCTTCGAAAGGGCATCAATAAACTGCCAAAGCTTTGCAAAATAAAATTACGTTAAAAGAGACATAATTAATTTCTTTTGTGTGTTATTTGAATCTTTAGTTCTAATTTATACATAATAACACCGTATTGTTAATCCTCTTTCCATCGCAAATTTCTTCATACGTAGGCTTCGGAGCGCAGAGATCACGCACCAATTCAACGTGCTCTTCAAAGTAGTCAAGCGCAATAGGCGAGCAAATAAGGAACGTCACGTCGTTGCGTACGCACATTATACGTATGGAAGCGCACGCCGTGGAGGAGAAGACGTACCTATGTACGTGTGAATAAAATGTCTATTTGGAGCGTAAAGGCCCTAACCGGTTACTACCAACTAAGCTCCTGACTCAAAGAAGGAAGAGAGAGAAGATTTAAACCACTTATGCTCTTCCCATTCTTTTCATCTCATTTTGCCGTGATATACGCTTGCTGCTAGCTAAAAAACCGATATAGTTAAAACGGTGACCGTTGAGGCGTCCATCACGTAAAACAGAACTTTTATAACTCCCTCACTATGCGGAGCGCGTTTCGAGCTTACATATGAATGTCTATTTTCCTGCTACTTATTCTCAACAATAATTGATAGTAATTTGAATCATTCAATACTGATTTTACTTTTTAACATGATTAAAATTAACCTTTATTAATATTTATTTGTTATCCGTTAGAAATCGAACAATGTGCAAATAAGAGGATATTTTAGAAATTAAACATATTACCTATTATGTAAAAATGTTGTATGAAAACATATTATTTGAATTTAATTATCTACGTCTTTTTAATTGGATTGCAAACTACATTAAAAAATCAGTCCTCCCTATGAACATGGGTGTTTAAAGCACTCTGATACATTTATTTACATTTAAAAATTAAAATAAGTTAACTAAAACAATTTAATGATTGCCAATGGCACAAGCAAGGAAATAAAATTCGAAAACCTAATTAGATCTTTATACTGCTCTTACAAAAATTAAGTCATCAATACCGCCCGTTACGAAATCACGTCACTCACCTGGTCCGTACGGTCAGAGCGTGCGTTGACGCGGAGCAGCAGCCGTGCCGCCCGCCCCCGGCGCCCGCCACACGCCGCCTCAAGATCTGGACCGAGCACCTGAAGTACGTCCGTTTGCATGCCTACGTGTGCTCTTGTGTACGGCTGTCATAAGTAAACATGGCATATCTACGTTTGCTCGAATTTAACTTACTATATATATTTAGAACCGATAAAAAGCCGCTGGTCCTTATATTGGAAACACTGGACATTTTTGTTTTAGTGAAAAGTTACAGTCTATATACATCCCACTGCTGGGCACAAGTCCCCTCTCACTTCTGTGATCGTTTTAGGGCAAAGAAGTGTCCGTCACGTTGGCCCAGTGCGTGTTGGCAGACTTCCTCAAGATGTTTGTTTTTCATCGCCAAGCACGTCGTAAATTAGCACTTGAAATTGCAATTAACAATTTCATTGAATTGCATTGTAAACTTATATTTTCTGAGAAAATGTGGATGCATCCGTTTTGGTTATGGCAGTCACCGCTAGAAACTCGTTATAGGCTTCCATCTTGGTTTTATTGGGACATTGAAAACTAAAATAAAGGGTAGAAGTAACTGAATGATTTCACTAATTCATTTTCATTTATATATCAACCTGTATCTGTTTGCACTTTGCGTTATATAACAAACGCAGTTAATATTTTGAAGCATGGTTTTTATACATAGTATAAACAGTAAGCAAAAAATAAAAATTTCGGCTTTATTAGAAATAATGCTAATATTTTTCTCTATAATGATTAGATGTTTGGTAATCATTTAATCTTTTCAATATTTTATAGAATGTTTTAAAATAGATATTTCTAAAAGAAAATTGTGTACCTTTGAAAAGCTTTGCTTCCACGCTAATTGAAAATATGTGTGTCGTTATTAAAATGTTTGCTTCCGTATTGTGTTATACTAAATGTTGTAAAATGAAGTAATAGCAGTTAAAAATTGTTAAGTGTGGTTTATGTCGGGTTTGCAGTTAAGAGTATTTGTAGTCATCATTATAGCCATAATCATAATCATCGTTTTTTTAGCATCATTAATGATTTATTTAAGAAACCCTTTAGTTAATCTGAAACACTAGATATAGTTAATCTGAAGCACTAAATATAGTTAAGTAAATACCTATAATATTGTTTGTAGTACATATTTTACTAATTGACCTATCCTTTTATAACATCTTATTATATTCATTTATTTATGTGTGAAAGATTTTTTAAATTAGGAATATTTAACTAAAATTCAGATATTGAGTAGCCAGGGAAATCTAAGACAATTTTTTATAAATATTTAGTGTTGACTAATTTGTCTATCATTATGTACGAAAAAATTTCAGACCGATTTTAAAAGCGAGCACCAGTGTGGAACCGAAATATAAATCTCAACATCGCGTACAGAGTAATGGCCCTAATCCTTCAATCAGACAAGGTCCCAAGGATAGTCTTCTTCTGTAAGTAAAATTTAGAACGTATATTTTATACTTATTTTTACTTTGTGGCGGCGAGCTTATACAATGAATGATACGACTAGTGCATGAACACGGAAATTTCCGTTTCTGGAACCTCTGGAATATCCCGGTTCTTTTGGTATTTGAATAGAACCGGTTCTGCAGAGCAGCATCCCGGTTCTCCCGGTTTTCCAAATAATTTAATTGTATTTAATTGTATGTTTTCTAATAGCGTTACTCTATAATTCTTCTCGCGTCATGCACGCACATTGCCCAGTTCCTGTAAAATGCAAAGTTGCCAACTCGCCTTGTGTGCTCGCCGCGCGTCCTCCTCTACTTTTGAAATCCTGGAGTATTCCCAGTAGTCTTACCAAGCAGTCTTGCTAGTAAGACTTCTTGGTATTTTTTGAAGACTACTAAAACACTACGGAACAATTGTCTTTAAAAAAAGCAAACATTCAGTCAAATTAGGCCAAAACCGAAATGCATAATTTTACAAAAATTAATTTAAGTAGGTTGACAACTGATGACAACTTACATGTACCTTGTGGAGTAGGACTATTTAAAATTTTCTTTCACAGTGGTTAACAGTAAGGCCTACTTGGTAAGAAAATTCTCAGTAGTGTGAGCAGTAAGCTTTCTTGCTAAAACTACTGGGAATACCCCAAAATCGCGCGCCTTCAGCAAACCAAAAGTATGTACTAAGTGTTTTGTAACAAACATGTTATGTTCCATTTATTATAGGTATATATACCCATGGACAAAGGAGATGTATGAAATTGGGTTGTTGACATCGTTCGTAACAGTTATACAAAAATATGTAGGTAATATAACGATAAATAATAAGCATAATTAAATGGTTTTTATTTCTGTAATGTATGTGACAATTATAAAAACATTTTTTTAAAACTGAAAAACGAAAGCTAATGCTTTTACTATAGCAAAAACAAAACGTTTTTAAATATTTTTATGTATTTTGTCTATGGCATTAGATAATGAAGGCTATTTTTTGTAATAAATAGCTTTCATTATAAAAAAAAAACTCATAATATTGAAACATTAAGGCGAATCAGTAGAAACTAATACTGAATAAAAGAAATCCATTTAGAAAATCGATTGAATAGGCTGTATGTTCCTTAATCATTGCCTGTTTTGAAGGAGACTTATAACTTGGTAACTTCGAGTTTAAACTTGTCATTTAGTCTGTGCTTGTCATGCACATAACACATTTTCAGTAGGTTGTTGCGCCCACATAATGACAATAATGTGTTACTTGGGTATTGAGAGGAATAGAACAGACAATGTACAGCCTCCGGTTGCTTTTATAGATGACATTTTATTAATAATTGCAGAAAATAATTAAACAATTAGAAAAGTTTGAGTTGTATTTTATTTTATTTAATAATAACTAAAAAACGGCATCCTTTTGTGTTCTTTTCAATTTATTCAAACAACTTATCCCAAGAACAAGTGATTTTACTACATAACCTACAAATAATAAAACAAAATAAAAACAAAACCCCAGGCCCTACAAAAATATGATTTTTGTCATAAGTAACAAATGCTTAAATCTTCAAAATAAGATATATTTGAACTTTGTTCGGGCCCAAGCTTGTACGAAGTTAATCTCCTTTAGAGAAACGTAAAAAAAAGTGTGTATAAATATGTATGTGACAGTTAAGTTAATTTATTTGGATTTTGCTTATTATTTGTTAAATAAATTTGCAAAACATCGAAAAAACAAACGATCAAAAGACAATAATTAACAAAATAAAAAAAATCCAGGAAAGAAACATTTTTGTACTTAGCATATTTTTTTCATAAATGCTTAGAAAACTTATGGACAAATTTAGAGGAACGTAAAAAAAGTGTGTATAAAACATAATAGCATGGATATTTGTAATTATTAAGTTTATTTATTTGGATGGAAAGACATAACGTGGACTATTATCAGTACTCAGTGTTGCCATGTCTAGCTCTTCGAACTGCTTCTGGTCTCCTTGCCATATTCCTAATCAAGTTATCAATAAAATCTTGAGAAATTGCGTTCCATTATTCATGTAATTAGTTTTTAAGATCTCTCAAATTAGTGGGGGCAGGCTTTCTTTTCTTAATCTTTCTTCCAAGTTTATCCATACATCCTCTATGTCGTCATGGTCGGGCAAGCGCGCTGGCCACCCCATAGTCTCGAAGGTATTCGACAACTACGGTCGCAGTATGGGGGCGTGCATTATCATGCATAAAAACAAATCCATCTATAATACGGGCAAATGACACTACAATTTCTTCCGAAATTCCGATTCTCAATGACGTGGAGTTCATTAAGTGCCACAATACAAATACCTTCCCATACAATAACTGACCCTCCACTATAATATGACGCTTTTCTAATGATGTTGCACTAAGTGTACCCCTCTCCCGGGCTTCTCCACACTTTAATCCTTCCTTCATCTGGCTTCAGACAAAATCTGGACTCATCTGTGAATAGAACTCGACTCGAAGCTTCGTCAATCCAATTTTTGTGATAGCGAGTAAAATTAACGGGAGCTACTCGATGACATGTGGCAAGAAGGAGACTTCCGGCAGGCAAATGTGAATTTAATCTGGCCGCCTCATTCATACCACTCTAACTTTTGGAGCTTCGTTCTTACCTCTGTAGAAGTTAAGATCTGGTTTCTAAGCACGCTGATAATGATCAACTGGTAATCTCGGCTACAATTTTTTGTTTACTTCTCCTGCAAGTCTCGTATATTGCCCGGTCTGGCGATATCTCTTGACAACTCGGTGTACCCCAGATTTTGATACTCGTAATGTTTGGGCTACATGTTTGTAGGTGTGCCCAGTGTCAATTAAAGTAACAGCCCTAGAAACTCGAGTGCCGTATAGATCTGGCATTCTCAGCTTATTTGCCGTAACAATTTACACTTAATACGGTAAACAAGGTAGTCAGGGCAAACATTTAAACAAAACCTAAATCTAAACTCAGATTCAAAAGTTGCCAAAACGCAATATTACGCAATACATAAAAACAAATGAAATTAGAAAAAAAAGGTTCCAAAGTTTCCCTTTTAATTATCATCATCTTCATCTTCATCTTAATACACGTTCGGAAGTCCACTGCTGAACATAGGCTTCACCCAAGAAATGCCACAAAGCACGATCCTGGGCCACCTGCATTGATCGACTTTTTTATCGACGCACGATAATTGATACAACAGGAGAAATTAAACCTTTTTTTTTTGTATTCTTCTAAATTTGTCTAAACTAACTAACTATATTAATAGATACTTAGTTAATTTGAGTTATTGCCGTTTCATTTTTAGAATGTTCCTCCTAGACGGACTGGATCTTTTTATAAAAATAAATAAATAAATTTATATATATATGTGATTATCTACTTTTTAATTTTTATTTTAAATTTATGCATATGATTAAAATATTTTCTAGGTACTCCCTAACCAACTGGCGAACTTTTGCCAACAATGACGTTTGATTAAATTAGGAAAAATATCAACTTTATAAAATACATTAAGGAAACAAATAAGTTCCAGATCTCGATTCCGAACCTCTTTTAAAACCGGGTGTAAAGAATAAGGAACCGCATTCGGATCTGTAAGCCGTACCCAGGAACGTACACAAAAATCAATAAAATACATTTAATAGTTTATTTACAGAAATTTATTTATTTATTTATATTTAATCTTTATTGCATTCACTTTAAATAGATTTCAAACTGCGGGCTAAATGCCATAGAGTGCTAAGAATTCGTCGCATTTCAAAAAAACTTAAAGTATAAATTAAATTTATAAGAATGATATTATTTCGTTTGGGTAACTGGGCACAGGCCTCTTTTCATTTCTGAGAGGGTTTAAGGCAAGGAAATGTCCGCCGCGCTGACCCAATGCTGTTTACGAACTACATGTCTTCGAATTTTTTTTGTTATTTTTCAGACATGCAGGTTTCCTTAGGATATTTTCCTTCACCGCCGAGCAGGTCACGTATCCCCGTAAGTAAGCACTTAAAATTGCAATTAACAATTTCATTGGTGCCGGCAGGAATCGAACCCGGGTTGCTTGCGTACCTACTGTGAAATTTACAGCGTGCGCTTAGCCCCTGTGCTGCCACGGCTCTATTTTTACATATGATGTAGATGAATCTCTTTTCACTAGACGAAGGTCGATAGGGTTCAAATTGCATTGTAAAGGCATTGTACATAATAGTGCTGTAAAGTGTTCACTTTATAGCGATATAATATTGCTATATCCTTTCTTTTTAATTTGGTATAACAAAATTAATTTGAACAAACTAATAATAATTTAGTAGTCGTAAGCTACGGTACCCTCATTTTGAATACAGCTTACCTATAGTTTGCCTTATGGGGGAGGGGGGGGGGGGGATATTTTTCGTAGTTGCCACGCTTGGCAGGTGGGTTGTTGACACGCTCGGAATGGATTCTCTTTCGCCGCGTGTACACGTCTTAAATTAAAACGCTTAATAAAATGCCTGATTACTTTGAAATTTTTACGGAATGTTGCATCCGTGAAGCGCGTTTTTATATACTTTTTGAAAAACTTTTTGTGTTTTTATTTAACCAATACATTATTATTGCTAAATTTACAGCGAGGATTATATAGTATGGAATGGAGCTAATCCCGATTTGCGTAGCGGAAACGCAGTGAAGCCCGAAGGACCAGAACATCGCGAAAAAAAGTTTACACTAGCCCGCGGTCCTTCAGGACTTGCAAAGGGACCCGCCGGTATTGCCAAGGGTTCTTTATATCAGAAGTTTGCTAAAAAGTCGACTAAAATGTAAGTAAACTCCATGTCAATGTGTCTAAATGTATAGTTTTGATCTGGAGGCATGGCAGTGCCCCCGCCAAGTAGAGCGAAAAAGCGGCACGGCCGTACCATCCTTTTCTCGAAGCAGTTTAGGCCATTTTCGACTCCCTATAACTTGTTTGTGGATAAAACTAGAAGCCTGTATTTCAGTAAACAAGTAAGCATTGTATAAACTCAGTATATTTCAAATTTTAAATTTGAACCAGTAGTTTAAGAATTATAACTAGTCAAAGTTTCTTAATTTTGTCACTCACTGACTGACCGATCATCAAAAGTCTAAGGCACTTCTAGCAGACATAGAAGCTTCAAATTTGGAATACAATTATTGTTTAGTATATAAATCAAGGAAAAATCAAAATATTTTGCAATTTAGGTCCAGTTTTCGAGATATACCAACTGCATAAATAACTTTGTAACCATATATAAATATATAGGATTACAAAGTTACATTTGTAGTGAATGAATCAGTGTACCTATATACATATGTATAATATAATGGAATAATAGGTGTAGATAGGTACCTAGATATAAATATCTACAAAAAGAAATGAGATGCCATCAATAACATAACTTGTAAAAAAACCAAGTCTCGCAACTCAGTTCTTCTACCGTAAAAAGTTGTGAGATTTATGTAATACCAAGTCGGTTAATTTATTCAGTCCCTACTTAAGGGTCCTTGTGTCTTAAGTTATTACGTAATTAGCTAACCTAACAACATCTTATAGTGACCATATCAATATTAAAAATCTTTTATGTTTTATATAAATAAATTAACTTGGCACTCGCAGTAAACAATCTAATTTAATATAATATGTATTACTTGAGAGATACATTGTGTTTTCATGCGATGGCCAAGTCAATCTATTTATTTAAAATACAAAAGATTTTTAGTATTGATATGGTCACTCCAAGATGTTGTTAGGTTAGCTAATTACGTAATAACTTAAGACACAAGGACCCTTAAGTAGGGACTGAATAAATTAACCGACTTGGTATTACATGAATCTCACAACTTTTTACGGTAGAAGAATTGAGTTGCGAGACTTGGTTTTTTTTTACAAGTTATGTTTTTGATGGCATTTTTATATTAAATATTGCTAGAGACAAAATTTAATATACTTACTAAATTATATTGTTAGTTTAATGCACTATAATCTTAGACTCCCTTATAAATTATCATTGCTAATAACAAGTAACTGTACAACCAAATTAAAATAGTTGTAAGACGTATCACTTCACTTCATAATGATCATTTTAATTGTCCGATACACTAAGTTTTTATAGGAATACAAACCGTAAATACGGTGCAATATGTTATTATAAAACGGACTAAAGCCGAAAATATTCCTATATTACAATAAGCGTCATTGTTACTCCTTTTGGTTTTGCCCTCTTCTGTATGTGTCATTTAAGGTAAATGTTAGGAAAATCTGATGATATTCGACTACTGTATGCGAGCTGTATTGAAGTTCGTTTTTATTCTAGAGGCTGTATTTTCTGGCTGTATAAAGGCTGTATAAGCGTTTATACGGTTCTTTCTTATAAGTAAAAAATGAGTACAACTTATACAGCTTTATGCGTTAGTAACGCTGCGCAGTAGATGTACAAGCTTAAAAGAGGCTGTATAATAGCTGTATTACAACTATTATTTGGCGTGCAAGGAAACTATTACACTAAAGACATTGTCTTATAAGAAACTTTTAAAGATCCTTAGCGTGCTAAATTGGGTTTTGATCAGAATCGCAAATGAAATAAAACTAAAAGAAACTTTATTTTGATGACTAGATTGTATTTATATACTTTATTGAATGATGGCGACATTTAATGTCAGAGTAAAAAAATTTACATATTAATACTATACTGGAATTGGAGTTGAGTTTTGACGGTGATGATTGGTGAATTGATGGTGCAAAATTAGAATTACGGTAAACTTGTATATGTTTTCTATCAAAAATATGCCGCGCCATCAAAATAACCAAATAATAGAAGGACAAAATACTAAATAGGTACGGTAACTAATAATGGTTTTATAGGATAGAATAAAAAAAACTATAATAAATGAATGGATATGAAGGCACATTGGGGCACAGTGATCATTAGTCAAACTGAAGGTAACGGTACTTAGTTCTGTCAAAACCTTATTATTTAAATTTTTTGAATACTGGCTAGATGAACTTCACCAATTTTAAAAATATAACGTTTGCGCTTGCCGAAAATAAAAAAGACATTAATTTTCATTCATTTTCAAACATGGAGTGGTCAAAGAAAGAAGTTAGAGTAAGTCGGTTATCGCGTTGCACCGCTGTGGTCACGCGCCAAAAGAGATTTTCAATATTTTACAAAAATTGAAAATAATCCTACGATTTGTATATTGCACTATCAAACGATTCACTGAAGATTCAAGCTTCGAAGATTGTAAGACGACCGGCCGACCTCGTACAGTTAGGACACCCGCGATCATCAAAGCAGTGAAGACGCGAATCCAACTAAAACCTGTTTGTAAACAAAAAATCTTAGCTCTTCAGATGATAAGCCTAAGCAGAACCACGGTCAAAAGAGTGGTCAATAAAGACCTAGGACTACGAGCTTATCATAAGAAGACCGGACATTTTTTGAACGAGCGTTTGAAAAAAAATTAGGCTGGATAGATCCCGCGCTTTGTTACGGCGGTACGCGGGAAAAAATGCCGCGAAATTTTGTTTTCGGATGAAAAAGTTTTTAATGTCGGAGAAAGTTTTAATAAACAAAATAATAAGGTGTATGCACAGCAGTGAAGAAGTCAGCACGCGTATTCCGAGGGTTTAACGAAGTCATTATCTTTCGTCACTCATGGTTTGGCTTGGAGTCTCATATTCAGGCTTAACTGAGGTGTTTTTCTATGAAAAAGATGTAAAAACCAGTGCCGAGGTGTAATACCGTCCTAACAAACATAGTGGAACCTCTTTCTCAAACAATGTTCAAAAATAGACATTGGATATTCCAACAGGACTCTGCACCAGCTCATAGGGCACGAAGCACGCAAAACTGGTTGACCGCCCGTGGAATTGACTTTTTCGGACATGAAGACTGGCCCTCTTGTAGTCCAGCTTTAAACCCACTGGATTACAAGATATGGCAACATTCGGAGGAGAAAGTCTGCGCTAAACCTCATCAGAATTTGGAATATCTCCGAGCATCTTTGTCTAAAGCAGCGGCAGAAATAGATATGAATGTGGTGCGTGCTGCGATTGATGATTGGCCGCGTAGATTAAGGGCATGTATTCAAAATAGGGGACGGCATTTTGAATAATGTAAATAAAATTGTATTCTAAATTAAATTACCTTTCGTTTCATATATAATTTCTATATAATTATCAAAGAGTGTATTACTAATTTTATAAAAAGTTTTTGACAGAACTTATAACCTGACATAGGGCGCGTTCAGACGACACGCACCCGCTATGCGCACGTCCTAATTATAGGCTAAAAGTAATGTCTAATATTCGTAAAATTATATTTTACATTTGGTTTTTATGGGTCCTAAAATGGCGACAATTTGCTAAACAGCCAAAACGGTATTTCAAGAGTCTTATAGTCTTAGCAGTTGTACTATGTATGTTATGTATTCTATCATGCAGTCATTGGTTTTTAATCCGTTATATAATAGAATATTTTTATTACTTACGCCGTATAGCAGTTTTTTCAACATAACATCTCTTTAGGGACATGTATAAAAGATGGAAAAATCTTGTCTTGGAAACTGTTGGATAACTTTTAATTATATTTAAAACGATTTTCTAACAGCACCAAATCTTTTCTTTCTTTTCACATATTGATAACAAAATAATTTTGCTCACTAACATAATATAAAAACTCAACGCATGCAAAATGGCGATATTCTATCACTTATAAAGTTTTAAATGGTACTATGACTCTGATTTATTTTTTTAGTTTTATATCACCCGCATTTAGTGTTACATATTACAAGAGTGTACAATTACGCTATAAAAATAAGTTTTAGAAGGGAGTTTGCATACACCATTGTTCAGAAATAAGATTTGAGTGATAGTATTATAACACTTAGAGTTGTTTAAGCAAGTGACAGCATGTAAAAAACAGCTTTACAGATTTAGTGATATAATCAGGTTCAAAAGTGTTACAAAATAGTTAAAGTTGTATACTAAAGTTTTCATATTCTGATTATGAACTCTAAGCTTATCTAGAACCCATAATAAAGACTTTATACAGCCTGAGCTGTATAATAACTCAAACTACTCTTATAAGGATACAAACTCATTTCAACACTTATACGCTTCTAAAAGAACTCTTTTTATGTGGGCTGGTATATTGATGTTCAAAACGCACTTTCACAGTCTATAGCTAAGCTTTATCTGCAAATCACAACCAAATAAAAATAATAATATTTAAAGTATTAATTTCATTGCATATGCGATATCACAACGATATTATAATTAATTTTTTTTTGTTTCAGTGTCATCTAAGTATTTCGAAAACTACAACAGTCGTGAATAGAGGAGATACATAATATTTTTCTATAATTTTAGCTACTTTGTAGTCGCGTCAGTCCCATACATTGTAGGTATGCTAGGTGCATAAAATATACTTTATTGATTGAATAACAGTTTAGAATAGTCTATTAGTCTATCAGTTTAGGATATGCCTATTATCAACTACAAAAATCCACATCGATTGCTTTTTGAATAATAATCTATGGACTATCCACTGCTTTAACGCTCGACTCAACGACTATTTAGTCGTGCGAAAGCCGTTAAAGCATAAATTAATGTTTCTGTTAAGCAATCTGTCACTGAATATCTATACAATACCTTCCGTATTATAGTGCGTATGCATTAGATACTATTTTTATGCTTGATACAAAGAAGAGCTTAAGCGAGAATATTCTTATTTATTATGGCAGTTGCAATTAATAAATGTAATTGAATCAGTGGCGTAGCTTGGGGGGTCAGAGGGCCC